ACGGGATGCTGGACTGTTTAGCACGGAGGTAACAGAATTAGGGGTTTGTTTTTTTTGGGACTAAATCTTTAAAAAAAGGAGTGTAGAAAGCTATGATCTCAATGGATTCCTTTAATCCCAGGCAGTTTGTAAACCATCAAGCATTCGTTTTTGTTAAATAACAACGATCTGTAAAATCAATAACAAATGTTTCTATAATACTCTAAAAATTACTGCTTTGACACTTTCCAAAATGCATAAAAATTCAGCGTTGGAAACCAGTGCTGAGCCAAGTCTCCTGTCTTGCACTCCTGTGATTTTAAACACCAACTTCTCAGAGTCCTGTGGGGTCCTCCCCAGTGCTGCGCTGTCAGATTGTACGGCCTCAGACCAATTTCTGTGTGAAATAGTATTAGTCGGATTGAAAGAACAAATGACTCTTTTACAAGAGATGCCTTCCCTCACTGTGGTTTTGTGGCTGGAGTGCAGCTCAAGATGGTCACTCTGCGTGAGGAGAAGCAGGTCCTTTTTGATCCCATGTTGCTTCTAAAAAGTCCTACTCTGTACCCCAGCGGAGATATTCTTCTCAAATTAAAATGAACCAGTTCGTTTCCAGGCAGGATGCCAGCTGCAGGGAACAGTTCCTTGCAGCAGTGAGAGAAATCAAATACTCTTTGGTTTTAAACTGTTCTTTAAAGCAATCAGATTGGGTATATTTTTTATATTGGTCCTTAAAGCCAGACAAACATTTCAACAAAGCACCTAATCCTGCCCCCCACTGCAGTCTGTAGCAGCAGGTATGGGCAAGTTTATAGGTACAATATCCAGGTCCCTAAGGAATAACTGGTTAACTCGGGACCTGGGCGCCCAGAGCCTGATTTTTTTCCGAACTGCTCAGGGACAGATTCTCATAGGCCTAACACCCGCGGGGAGGGTGATATTCCCAAGACACCTCAGTTTCCATTTAGACCCCCAGGTAAGAGTCTCTTTAGTTTTCCATGCTCTCGTTGTAGCTCTTACAGTTACATCTTCCAAAGAGCTGAGTACTCAGAGTCCTGCAATCTTGAAAGTCTGGACACTTCTTCAGACATCAAAATGGGAACTGAACTTTTTTGAAGTCCTGATCCAAGAGCTTTAGAAGAGGAGCTATTAGAAATGGTTCTGGGAATGCATGTCAGAATATCGGGCTTCCTGCCCAGTTGCCAAGGCTGGGGATGTGGTTTGCTATGTGCCTTGTTATAAAGTTTTGCTTCTGCTACTCTTATCGCACTTCCTGCTGACACACTCCAGCAGCACATGCAGTCTTCCCCTTCTAATGTTTTTCCCAGATTTCTAACTTCTTTATGGAGTTGAATTTCTCTTCAATTCAACACTAAGCCAAGTTTCCTGTCTTGCACTCCTGTGATTTTAAACACCAACACTCAGGTGACAGGAACTCTGGGATTCATTAAATCTTGGTCATTGTAGC